GGTTAAATCCAAATTGTCATCAATTTAGATTTTAAACATTTTGCTTACCATATTTAATATTATATATAATTTATATATATTTGATTTCTAATATAAAACAAAAAAACAGCAAAAGTAGACATTTTTATTCAATAATAAGTTACCTACTTATATAATTATTAATAATATGTAGTTTCTACAAATCCCATTATCTACCTTAAATATGTGTTAGATAATAATAATGGTTGTAAATTGTAAATTGTAATAAAAACAATAAATACAACAATCATACAAAGTTATGTAATAATAATATTATATAATATAGTTAGTTTACACATACCTAAATGGCTAAATACCTAATATATTATCATTTTATTTTTAAATTGTCAACACTCAACAGACAAGAGTCCAAGTATAGAATATTTGTTACACTTTTAAACACTGAATTCTGAATACTATTATATTTAATGTATATATACATTTTAAATAACTTAATATTCTACTTATCTATAAATTATGCATAATATTAGATAGAAGAGTTAGAAATTCATAGCTTTAAGAACACTGAAAAAGCATATTAAATAATGAACAACATTTTTTTTTATTAAAATTCATATTATAATGAATTAATTTAGTTTTTTTTTTTTAATAATTACGTATGTGTGTGATATTATCATGGGTTAAAGCTGGTTTAAAATCTAAATTTTAATATTTGTACGATATAAAAGCGAATACCTATATACAAAATACAAACTTAAATAATAAGTAAATATGGTGACTACAGCCCTCCTGTTGGTTATCACCCATAATTTTGGGTATATTTTTTTCTATTACACTTTGACAAAACTAATTTTCACAAAATAAATGATTTTTTATTCCGACACGTCACAAAAATAAAATATACAATTTAATACGCTTTATGTGTGCAGATCGGAAACCACGACAATCCGCGCGTGGCCACCCGGTTTGGCGACGAATGGACGAATGGTGGAATGGTGGACGCCATGAACATGCTGAACATGTTGTTGCCCGGCGCCGCGTTCACGTACATGGGCGAGGAGATCGGCATGTCGGACACGGCCATCCACTGGGACCAGACCGTGGACCCGAGGGGACGGAACGCTGGGCGCAGCGGTTTCCAGACATTGAGCAGGGACCCTGCCAGGTCGCCGTACCAGTGGGACGCCAGTTACAATGCCGGGTTCACGGTATCTTTTAAACCATGGTTACCGGTGAACCCCGAATACTGGATGGTGAACCTGGAGTTCCAGCAGGGGCTGTACCCCTCCCACTACAAAGTGTACAAGCGGTTGGCCAAGCTCCGGAAGACCCGGACGGTGCAGCGCGGTTCGTTCGACGGCAAAGAGCTGTCCCAGTGGGTGTACGCGTTTACCAGGTAGGTGATATGGTGGTGCACAGTGTACGCTTAATAGTTAATACACGACCTGCAGACCTCAGAGAATGCATTTCCATATCAACAAATTAATTAGCTTTCCCTTGCCTCGTCGGTGATGGTGGTTCTAATAAAATAGTAATCAAAACTTAAACGCACACTCAATCAGGGACGGCGCGAGGGGGGGGGGGCAGTCGGGGCAGTTGCCCCGGGCCCCACGATTTTAAAATTATAGTTAAGGCCCCGCAGTTCTGAAATGATTTATACTGTTCAGAGATTTTACTGAATTTCCAAAATTGTATTTATTGAAATCATAATTCGTATTAATTTTTTTTCTGCTAAAATAATTCTTTATTCCGTGATTCGTTATTTTTAGACGACAGTCCAGTTCCGGATTTAGAGGGGGTGCATGCCGCAGGGGTTGTATTTCATCGGGGCCTCAAGACCAAGGTTGTATTAGAACAGGCTTCAGGTTGAAGTCCTAAATTTTCGTATAATCGTACTATTTATTTAACCTCAGAGGCTCGCTCAGTCGCGCTAAAGTGCAGTATCTTGCTGGACAAACCAATAAGATAACCCGGTAGCGATGCCATTTTATCATCAAAAATACACTGCGGGAATAACGATACCGCCTTGTAGAATCAACGAAATTTCATAATTTTTGTTTTTTTAATTTTTATAAGGAAATATTGTACAGCCCGCATCGATCTCTGTTTTTCGATGTTTTATTCTCAAACTTAATAATATGTCTAAAAAAATACAAGATAAAAAACATTTTTTAACAAATTCTTTTTACAATTATTTGAAATAAAATACAAAATCAGAGATCGGTGAGGGCTATAGGAAGTCTTCTTCTTTCAGATAAAATTGATTAATTAGCTTTCCCTTGCCTCGTCGGTGATGGTGGTTCTAATAAAATAGTAATCAAAACTTAAACGCACACTCAAATACCCAATAATATAAGAAAATTAGGACCTATACCTATATTAATAGGTAGTGATACTACTCATTTAGTCATTTATATACAATAATTATATTATTATATATGATCGTGAGGTTTACGACGTTTACGTGCAGAAACGCAATATTATTAATAACTTATTCATTGTTATACTCGAATACTCGATAGACTATTTGCGTTTTTGAAGATCCCGCACAAGTGAAAATGGCCTGTCTATTAACTATTAAGTTTGTCCTTACACTTGTGTCTGTATAAGTATAACTATTGAAAGTGAAGCTTGACGGACTAATGATGTTAGCATTAATATAATAAGTAATGACACCACAATATGATTATGTATAAGTATAATATATAATAACCAGGGCTCGGGACTTAAAGCATTTGCTTATTTTTATAGATTGACTTAAAATGTAGCAGAGTACTATAGAAGTGTATGTCATGTTACAACACATTCAATTATGAAATTTGAGTGCTTTTTTTTGCTTTTTTCAGGGTTTTTTACAAAAAAATGCTTATTTCAAGTTTTTCTGATAATTATTGCTTTTTTGACCAGTTTTTATACTTTTTTATGATTTTCTACTGCAAAATTGTTTTTGATAGAATTAAAATTAAAAATAATTTAAATAAAAAAATTTATTAAAATTTATTAAAAAATTAATTTTTTTTTCAACTATTTGTAAATATTGTTTACATTTTATTTTTCAGAAAATCCCTTGGAAAATCCATAAAATCGTCAGTTCTGAAAAATAAGTTTAATTTTTTTTATAATTTTAAAGATAAAGTTTTATTTTTTATTTTATTGTTTTTTTTTTTAATAAATATTTTTGCTTAAATTTAAGTTTTTTAAATGCTTATTTGAGTGCTTATAATGATGTTTTTAAGTGCTTATTTAAGCGCTTATTTTAATGATTTTAAGTGCTTTAAGTCCCGAGCCCTGATAATAACGTACAACTGGACAATTAAATACACAAAAATACACACACCGCGTACACTCGGTATGACAGCGTCTGTGCAAGTGAGTATTACATACATCAAAGGCCCTATATATATGCACGACCGAGGTCATCCCGTATCCGTATATAATATAGAAAGCGATAGTAAAGGTGTTGCACAGCTATATCGTAACTGCATAAGTATCTATTAGAAAACGATATTGTACACGCACGTGTGTTTACATGGTTTGAATACTAATATTAATTGTATATTTCAACAATAACATACAGAAAAATATAACGAAATATCTCCAAATAATATGTTTACATACGTTTGATATCCATGCACTCTTATTATTATTATATGAACAGCAAACGGTACTTTATCTACGATTTTACGATTTGTTATTCGACTAGGTCACTGCCGTCAGCAGAAACTTACCTGGTGGTAATGAACGTGGGCTCCGAGTACGAAGATGTTGACTTGAGTAATTGGCCAACTTTGAAAAAAGACGAAGTGTGGCAGGTACACACGCCAAGCTTCAATGCACCATACGTGGAAGGGTGAGGAGCAATTAATAATTGAATTACATTTTAATAATATTTGATAAGCACAACGTGGTATGATAATATAAAAAAAACCTATATAAGCTGTAGGCATCGTTTAGACACCCATAATTTATCCGCGAAAATGGTTATATCACACATTTGGGAACTGTATTTTCAGTAACTTTACCAAATGTTCACAATGTATGGAAATGTACTTCATCCATGTCTTAGCGTTTTTTGTATTTTTTTTTTTTTTGATAATTTTAAGACAATCTAAATCATACATTCTTAAAGTTACATTTATTTATTATAGACCACCTACTGTATAGTTAGTAATAGTATTGATATAAAAAACGTCACAGTTAATGATATCCTCTATGTGGTGTAGAAGGTTGGTAAAACTGCTGTAAAAATTGTACTCATAAATTTGTTCTGCATGAAACCGTTTATCCATATTATTATAATCTCATAACTACGCAACAACCATGTAGGTGAAGACTTTTAAAAATACTTTGAATTAGTTTTAAGAATAGTAATATTTTTCTTGACATTTCAATAATCTTGCCTATATAAAACGCCTTAAATAGCAATTGTGTGGCGTCTAAACAATTTATAAAATAAAATATCTCTGTATAGTAGGTACTAAGTTTCTGAGTGAATTTTACAACTGTCCTTTTTTTTTTTTAATTTTGGGCAATAGTTAAATATTATGTGATTTAAAACGCATAAAAATGATTTAGGTATATAATAATATATAATTTATCTATGTCTTATATTATCCATCATAATATAATTTATTTACTGGATAAAATATTAAATGTAAAACAAATCACATTTCATTTCATTGAAGTATAAAACATTTTTTTTTAAATATTATTTTTCAATTAATTGGACCGGTAAAATGCGTTAATCGTCGATTTTCAATTTTTTTAAATAGACATACATGAGTGTAAGCGTGTACCTGTGAACGAATTTTTAATGTGTTTAGGTGATTGATAGGTAACTGATAAGGTAAGATCACTTTGATACAACCTAAATTATGTGGTATCCGTAACCGTATGTATACATATATATACGATAATAAATAATAATATATTTCATAATATATATTACATAATTCCTAATGTATACATCACTTATATTAATTATATTGTTGTACTGTAAGTCTGTACCTAAAGGTAATGTTTTATTGGTTTTTTGTTTCACCATTTAGATATTCATGTGAAACAAGATATCGATTATCAATGCCACCAAAATCTGCCATGGTTTTGTGTAACAAAAAATCATCATCATCATTCTCCTCTTCGCCACTGAGAACATCAAATTGTCCATGTAGTTCACTGGTGTATCCACTGGCTATTGTCACTGGAATAATGTCGTTGGTCATCTGCTTTTTCATAGGTGCAAGCGTTAAACTTATTATAGACATGGATGAGATCATTGAGAACACAGACATCACAGCCATATGTCAAGCCATATGTGATAATGTAGGTAATGCACGTTAAATTTAAAATTTTTTATAAAACTTGTTTAATACCAGTGATTTATTTAATGTAAAAATAGTTAAAAACTTTTGAATTAATAACTATTAATTACCCAGAATAGAAAGTCTATAAATAATGAATTATCTTGACAAAAATATATTTTTTTTTTTGCGCATTGCACTTATGATTACGATAAAAATATATGATTAACACAAAACTCAGTCTTAAAGATCGTAAAATAAATAAATATTGCTCACGTAGGTAGCCTCTCAAATATACTATATCTACATAAAATATGTACTTACGTGCAAAATTTGATACTAAGACGAGGGCGTGTTGTCGTCTTCCGAGCATACTAATATATGTATTAGGTAATAGGTATATAATAAAGCAACGAAATTCGCGTTGGTATGTTACATGCACGACAAACTATAATCGTTTAAAATTATAGGTATTTATTATAACATTTAGGCATAACATTATCAATGTTCATAGATAAACACATAAATTAGAATATATAGATACGATACCTACATCATTATATAAAAAAATATATATTCTAATTTATGTTTTCATCTATGAACATTGATTATTTCTATGAACGCTAATTTATTTTAAAAAAACGCCACCGCCATTTTTTGAAAACATAAATTAGCATATAGATACAATACCTACATCATTATAATTATGAAATCGATAATGTTAATTTCTTATAATTAATAGTGATCATTGGACTTCAAAATCGAGTTTACAATATTTTATATTTTATTGTATTGATTATATCGAAAAAAAAAATTGGAGAAAAAAATCAAGTAATCACGCGGTAAATTAGTGAACGGTAATCGATACCTGGTGGCCTAAATGTTATAATCAATACCCATAATTTGAAACGATTATAGTTTGTCGTGCATGTAACGGGCGATTGTAAACTCCGCCAGAATATCGGTCAAGATAAAAAGGTAATAATAGGTCTATGGTAAACTCCGCCAGTTTTTTTTTCTTACCTGTAATGGGTATATGTAAACTCCGTCAGTTTTTTTTTTTACCTGTTCAGTTAACTTCAGTTCCAACTTCGCGATCTGAAGTTATTTCTTCGCTTATTCAGATGGCACCAAAAACGATCAGATATGAAAGTTTTTTAAATCGAACAACAAATGCCTGTGAATCCTTTCATAGTCATCTGAGAAATTCATTTTATAAAAGTCATCCGAATGTTCACATTTTTAGTAAAGTTCTTATCGAATTTCAAACCCAAACTTATATTAAACTAAATGGCATATCTCAAGTAAATCAGCTAAAAAATTCGAAATCAAAAAAAAAAAAATGACAGTATTACAGGATGCTATGAATAGGTATACTAATAAAGAAATACAAGACTTAGAATATTTGCAAATTGTATCACATCATTATAGTTTTCATACATGACAATATTTATAACGATTATTTATTAATTATTTATTATATTTTATTATATTATGTGGACGATTATTTATTTATTGTTTTTTGACTATGATTTGTGTATATTTAATGTTGACAATTATTAATTATTATTATGAAAAATATGATTTTGGATTATTTATTATGATTTTTTATACTATGATTTAAATATTGATATGATATGATATGATATTATATTATAATTTTTTTTTAATAATATATCATATTAATTTTATACTACTATTTGATTTTCTTCACTGGCGGAGTTTACATAAACAACATTTTACCTGAAATTTTTCAGTGGCGGAGTTTACATGAACCCAATTTTACCTGTTTTTTTTTTCTGGCGGAGTTTACAGTAAAAAAAGGTACTTGTGGCGGAGTTTACATGCACCCGCATGTAACATACCAACTCGCATTTCGTTGGTTTATTATATACCTATTACCTAATACATATATTAGTATGCTCGGAAAACGACAACACGCCCTCGTCTTAGTATCAAATTTTGCACGTAAGTACATATTTTGTGTAGATATAGTATATTTGAGAGGCTGCCTACGTGAGCAATATTTATTTATTTTACGATTTTTAAGCCTGAGGTTTGTGTTAATCATATATTTTTATCGTAATCATAAGTGCTATGCGCAAAAAAAAAAAATATTTTTGTCAAGATATTTCATTATTTTTAGACATTCTATTCTGGGTAATTTATAGTAAGTTATTATAGTAGGTTGAATATGTATGTTCTGAACGGTGTTTGTCAATTGCGCCGATTTTTCTAGACTACCTGAAATTTATACATCTTTTGCGCCGGTGGATTTATCCCAAACAAAAAAGGTATACGTCTTTTGCGTCAATAAATTTATCACAAATTAATTTGGTATACATAATATATATCTATTGTGCCAGGAAGATATTATAAAATATCATATTATTATACTATTATTAGATTATAATATAATTATCAAACATATAAAATAAAGTGTAATTTAAAAAATATAAAAATTTCATAAAATTAAATCATAAAAATTAAAATACATATAAATAAACGATGATAAATTACATATGAATAAATTGTCAAAAAGTATTAAAATTTCATTTCTTGTAATGGTGACTTACCGACTTCACAAATTGAAACATATTGATAGTACCGTCATATTATTATACTATTATATTAGATATTTTATTTTAATTAAAAAGTACATAATGAATTAAATTATCAAACATATAAAATAAAGTGTAATTTAAAAAATATAAAAATTTAAAAAATTAAAATACATATAAATAAACGATGATAAATTACATTTGAATAAATTGTCAAAAAGTATTAAAATTTAATTTCTTGTAATTGTGACTTACCGACTTCACAAATTGAAACATATTGATAGTACCGTCATATTATTATACTATTATATTAGATATTTTATTTTAATTAAAAAGTACATAATGAATTAAATTATCAAACATATAAAATAAAGTGTAATTTAAAAAATATAAAAATTTAAAAAATTAAAATACATATAAATAAACGATGATAAATTACATTTTAATAAATTGTCAAAAAGTATTAAAATTTAATTTCTTGTAATGATGACTTACCTAAATATCGTCCGGCGCAGTTGATGTATAAACTTTTTAAATCCCATAATTTTTTTTTCCTTACCTGTGATTTCTGGCGCAATTGACATATACCCGTTCTGAATCTCCTCCCCCTTTAATTTTACATGTAAAAGCATAGGCTCCTCTGTATAGGCAATTCGTAGTACAGACTCCTCCGAATCTTGTATAAATTACTCAATATAGGCAACTAGCAACACACATAAACTCGTCACACGCCACCCAATCCGACACGTGACAGACATATATTTTACGCCTTCCCCTTCAAATATATTGCCTCCCCTTTTATTTACACTTTAAAAAATATGTATATTATACTGATGTACATATTTTGTATCGACTATATCGAACAATTGTCCGACATATATTTTACCCCTTCCTAATCAAATATATTACCTCCCCGGGACTTCATAGCTAAACAACAACAGGCATCCCAGCAACACCGCCTGGAAAAACCGGCACCACCCGTAACCCCAGGCCCAGAGACGGTCCTGTCACAGCCAGGGCCTGCGTCCCCGCACCTCACCGTGGGCACGGTACCGGAAGTGACACACACTTCCGGAGCGACCGGAACCACGGATCAACTAGCGGCTGCCACCCCTCAACCCGAGGATATGGAAATATCCCCGGAGGAGGAGGAACAGCTGTTAGGAGGTACGGGCACACACCTGGCTGACCACGAGGACATGGACGTCAGTCAACTTTACTACAGCCCCCCCACATCCCCCAAACGCGACTAGACACCGCCAGGGCCACGTCCGCTGAACACAGCCGGAAAACGTGCCCTCGGACAGGTGTCTACCACAACCACCTTCAACCCACTGACCCACCACAACCACCCACCGCTCATGACAAGGCACACCACCGGTAACGGCCGGAATACCAACGCCGTTGGCGGTTTGGGGGGGGAGTATGACGCGGTCCCGCGCAAAATCTGTTAGAATTCAAACAGCCTTTGCGCGGAAGCCGCGCCGTGGCTTCTCAATCAAACCGCCAATCGACGACGGACGACGCATGGAACCGTCGGCCGGCCGTCCGGCGAACCGGATCGTCAAGACGCGCTCTCTCATCATCACGACACCGACCCGGATAGTCCTCCGAAAGTCGAAATTCGTTCCCGTGTGAACTCGATAGCTTAGAACTTGTGTCATTAAATTGAATGTTCTTTTTGTTTTGACTCTGGTCACTTGTGGAAATAAAAAAACCAATAATACAGCAGTGCGCCGTTCGTTGTTTGTCATTTCTTTTATTATTCCGTTTGTCTGTTTCGACCCGACGTTCTCCGTCGGTCACCACCACCACATCACCATCCACGCGACACAATAAAGTCCGCGTCACCTTTTATTTACCCCTTAAAAAAAAAATATATATAATATTCTGATGTACATTTGTATCGAATATATCATACATACATACATATACACTAACATATACATGTTCATAATATCATATAAGGTACAACATAACACATATCTAAAAATATTATACCATTTTCAGATTATAATATTCCCATTCGAATAAACATCTCGCTAAAGCATACACCGGAATGTATCTCAAATATATTATAATATAGTTTAGATATATAGGTGCATACTTACATCATTTATATCCAAACAATTATATAAACATCATTATCACAAACTCTTTACCATAGCTCTAAAATCAAAATTGACTAAATGGCAACCAGTCAAAGTTTCGATTAAAATTATTGAATTTTTCACCAATCATAGTAGAATTTTATGAATTATTATGAAATTTTATTTATTTTTTTTGTATCCGTATGTTTGCAGATATTTTTAAATCATTTAAATTTAATTTTGAGGAATTAATTAACCTCAATTAGACGTAAATGTTAGTTCAATTACTAAGTAAGAAAAGATTAAACTAATTAACACATAATTTTTTTACAATTTCAATCATTTATAT